AAAAAAAAAAAAAAAAAAAAAACGGCCAAAATGGAGTCGTTTTCTAGGCTACCAGAGTGGCCCGGGGTCACTTGCCCGGCCGGGCCAAAAAAATAAAAGTAATATTTTATTTCATTTTCTTTTTCAAGTTTGGTAAAGAATTTCGATGTGACCGAGGCAAAAGTTGTTCAATTTACTTTTCTGCATAACATAGTTTTTTTTTTCGGATTTTTTCGAGGTTTTTTTTTTCCCTTTTTGCTGGGACCTTCTCTGGTCCTTGCACGGGCTGGCCACCCGGAACCCGGGCGCTGGGACCTTCTCTGGTCCTTGCACGGGCTGGCCACCCGGAACCCGGGCGGCCCGGCTGGTAGCCTTGGTGACTCGTTTCTTTTTTTGTTCAAATTTTTACTAATCGGACAAATTGAAGAAACGAATACGCACAAGCCCTATGAACAGATGCACACGAGAATGAAAGGACCAAAAAAAAAAAAAAAAAAAAAAAAAAAAGGAAGGACCTCGCTTCACTGCACAGCAGTCTGAATGTATCTGGAGCTAGTGATACATTCAAAAGTGATACATTCAAAACGTTGGATTCGTCCGGATGCATTTAGTCCACCTCCAGTCCATATACATGTAGCATGTTGTGTAGTGGAGTGATGGCCGAAATGTGAGTTGAAAGAGTTGCAAGCGCCGCGTAGAATGCTGGCGCTTGTGTAAGAAGAAAAGGAAAAAGGGGAAAAAAAGGGAAAAAAAGGGGAAAAAAACGAAAAAAAAAAAGAATGATTCTGCTGACGGAGCGGCACAAACGATAACACCGCCCGTGCATAGACTGAAATCAACCAACTGGCCTAGCACAGGGCATCGTCACATTACGACTTTTTTTATCTGTTTTGGGACGGAATTGCCGCCAGATACATTTGAGATACTGCTAGTGTGAGCACGCTCTCAGTTGGTACATCCCTGAACTGTTCAAAATTCAAATACAGAGCTGAGTTCAAACTCCACAAGAAGCAGATGGAGTAAAATCCTACCAAAAATAAAATAAAATAAAAAAATCCTACAATAAAAAAAATGAAAAATGAAAAATCCTACAATTCTGAAATACCTAGGGTGGGTCAATTCGATGATGACATCTCAAGGCCGTCGCCCTTTTTTTTTTTTTTTTTTTTTTTTTGCCGTCGCCCTTTTGGAAAAAAGAAGAAAGGGAAAAGGAGAAAAAAAAAAAAAAACAAATAAAAAAAAAAAAGTCCGGTTAAAAAAAAAAAAAACCGACATGAAAAGGTNAAAAAAAAAAAGTACGGTTAAAAAAAAAAAAAACCGACATGAAAAGGTCCGGTAACGCCGATATGGACGCCATTGCGGTCAGATACATCCACCTGGGGCCGCGGTCAGATACATTTAAGGTAGAGCCAGTTTGTGTGAGTACGGCCACAGTTGGTACAGCCATGAATTGCTGAAATGCAGACCAGAGGTCGAACCCAGATTTTTTTTTTTTTTTTTTTTTTTTTGTTTTGTTTTGTTTTGTTAGGTCGAACCCAGATTGTTGAACTAGATGAATGCAATTCAGTGATTCTTTTTTTTTTTTTTTTTTTTTTGTGTGTGTGTCTGTGTGTCATGCCGGACATTCTGAATTACCTGGGACCGGTTAGTTTGAGGATGGTATGGTACCTGGGAATACGTCCAGGTGCGATGCCCTCCACCCACACTCGACCCAGCTCAGGAATGCCACTCTATGGGCCTCACTTCTTCAGAAATCATTCTGATTGTATCTGACTGTACTGCTGTGAAGATACATTCAGATCGACAACATTCAGAATGTATTGGGACAACAGCAAGGTCAAGATACATTTAGAATGTTGTATAGTGGAGCTCAAGGCCCCATACGTGTGCATAGGCATCTCTCTTCCTGAAGAGAAGAGAAGAGAAGAGAAGAGAAGAGAAGACAAAGGTAGGCAGAAGGAAAAGACTAGGTAGGAACCGCTCCTGAATGTCTTAGTCGTTACGCTCCCTTAGAGGAAGAAGTGTATTCGTCTGAAATCACTTTGGCAGTTGGGATGCAGCAATATCTTGTTGACGGCTGTGTGCTCTGCCGTTTCTTTTTTGTTCGAACTTGTTGTTGGTGATGACAGGGTGAAGATTATCCTTATGCATATGGACAGACAAATGATCATGTAGATAGATCGCTGGAGATTCAGCAGCGCCCGCTAGCAATTTGCTAGTGTGGCTTTGACTGTCAAAGTTCCCCAGATGAAGTGGCAAGAGTGAATGAGTGTTGCTTGGGGTACGGGTGGAAACAGAAGCAGGCGGGCACTCCTATGGATTCTTTCGGATGAGAGAGAGAGAGCGAGAGAGCGAGAGAGAGAGAGAGAGAGAGAGAGAGAGAGAGAGAGAGAGAGAGAGAGAGAGAGAGAGAGAGAGAGAGAGAGNGAGAGAGAGAGAGAGAGAGAGAGAGAGAGAGAGAGAGAGAGAGAGAGAGTCACAGTGCCTGTCTCTCTCTCCTCCCCCCCCACCTGCCACTTTCCTCGTTTCTCTTGCTCTTGCCTCTACCGGCGTTGTAAAGCTCTTGGACGGCGAAGCGGTCATTTGCAACGGATACAGACGGATCACTGCTGGGCCTTGTCCTGCGATCTGCTTTGCAGGCTGGCAAACACTTGACCGACATGACCACGAAAATCCGAGGAAAACGAAGGGATACGAAGCCGGGAATGACGGCAATGGTGACCAAAACGACAACCACAACCACGATGACGACCAAAGTTCTGAAGAAGATGCAGGTTGTAGAATGTCCGTCACCAAATCCGAGAAAGCGCTCGCGGAAAGAGTCTGAGGGGACGGCAGACGTGCCGACCAGCCCCAGGATGCTCACCGTGGATTCTCTGATCACATCGTCACTAAGGAAGAGGCGCAAATCTTCAGGTAATAGTAGTCTCCCTCTTGCTGCCCCTTCCCCACTCCATTTGCCCTTCTCCCCTCCAACACACACACACACACACACACACACACACACACACACACACACACACACACACACACACACACACACACACACAATTAAGAGGCACAGTAAAAGGGGAGCTGCAAGAACAATTGGAAGGGGTACCCCAAGGACAACCAATAAACTGTCTAATTATAAAATTGCTTTAATATGTTGGACTGTCTCATCTCAAATGATCTCGTTGTCTGCAATTCGACAAAGACTGCTTTGATTCTGAAGAATCTGAACCTATTCATCTGAAACGGTATTCACCTGTTAGCAGTAGCGAATGCAGATCCCAGGGTTCGATCCCTAGTTCTTACCTTACCTGTGTACAGTATCTGTGTCGACCCCGAGAGTTGAACCCGTGACCTGTGTATTCACAACAGTTGGTAGGCTGTCGTAGGTCCGTAGATTGTAGGGGTTCGGTCTGTAGACCTGTAGGATAGAGGTCTTAGTGAGCTCTAGAAGTCGTAGCTGTAGCTGTTCTGAGAGGTCAAGGTCGTAGCTGCTACGGTGTTCGAAAGGCCAAGCCCACAAACTTCCGGAAGGTCCGGAAGTGGCCTTTTGAAGTTTGCTCACGTTTAGACAGAGGCAAGTGGGCAAGTGGCGAGCCCAACTGCGGTACGTCGGCAGTGTGACTGCATCGATTTGGCAGTGCAAACCCATGCAGTCAGTGGTACCGGTCCCAGTCAGTCAGAGTCCAGTCAAGCAAGTACCGTGTGGGACTGTGTGCACCATGGGCCCGGTGGAAAGGGGCAGACCAACGAGTTACGGAAGTATAAATCAAGAGGCAGTGCTCAGCTATACATTCATTCGCTGCGTAAGCCATGCGGAAGCGCTGCTTGAGCGACTTGTGCGAGGTGGTCTGCAGAGCGCCCGAGGACGAAGTGGGCAAAGGAGAGGTTGCATAGCCATAGCCAGCAGGGTTGAGCGGCCATAGCCGCCGTAGGTGGTCGGCGAGTGTAGTATGTGCGTGTGTGTGATACGGTGTGTCGCGTGTGCGATATCCATGGTGATCCTGAGTTGAGTGTGTGTGAACAGTGGAGTTGAGCACAGTGACGAACAGAGAGTTGTACAGGCGCTGATGCGCCATAGCCTGTTGAAGCGAGCATGTATCTGAACTGTGTTTCTGACTTCCATATCTCGAGCTTTGAGTGGGCGCTGAGCACCAGTGTGACTTGTCATCTGTTTGCATGAATGCGAAGTGGAAAAGAAAGCGAGTCTGATTGCACATCTGGGTGGAATTGGGGCTGTTGTGGGGAAAATGTGTAACACACACACACAAGCTTTTCTACCTACTTCTCGCCGTCTCTCCCCTGTGGTTGAGTATCCTTGATACTGTATTCTTCTCTTTCTGCAAGGGGTTCAAAAGACGTAGCGTTCTGGCTTTAAGTGTGGTAGTGCTAGGGTGTTGTGTGTGGTGTACTGTTTCGGTTCCGGTGGCTGTAAACCACTCAGACTTCTTTGTCTAGGGTGTTTTGATTCTAGTGGTGGTAAATCACTCGGACTTCTTTGTGCGCTCACCAACAAACGGCCGTGGGATTTCCGAGTACATACTTATCATTAAGCGCTTTCCAGTGTTCCCAACTCCAGCTCCGAATCTCCTGGTGGCGGCCGTGGGTGTTGTAGGGGATAATGTGCCATGCAATGACTTGTGTCTGTTGAAAAATCGCCTGCATTGTGCCCTGATGGTACTCCACATTGCCAGGAGTGCTGGTTTGATGTTTGCCTCTTGACATTTTTGTTCATGAGTACGTTTCCTTTGCACGTGGTCCTGCCATTCTCTGGTTGTGCCTGCCTGCCGATCGATGGGCTTGGGACTATAGGTGAGACAGCTTTCGCTGATCAGGCTTGTGTGTTGTGCCTTGTACGCACGTTGCAGCTGATCTTGCCGCCCTGAGTCCCTTGTCTCCAAGTGGGGTCATCTCTTTGACTTCACAAGCAAAGGAACAGGCATCTGCGTCAGGACCTGCGGAAAATGAGGTCTGCCGGGATCTTAGCAGCTTATTTGCATCTGCTGCTGTTGAAAGCGTGGTAAGTTGAGTTTGCAATCGGATGATCGGATAATTTAAAGCTTGGCCTTGCCCTCTGTCGTCTTGCTTTGCTGCCCAAGCTTGCTCGCCCTGCCTCCGTTGGGTTGTTGTTTCCTCTCTCTCAGGCGAGAGGATATGCCTTTCCATGTGCTAGTCTGCGTTGCTGTGAATGATTTTAGACCTCTGGTTGATGTGGAGAGCAACCTTCTATGCAGGATGAATGAAAAATGGCATGAAAATTTATGGGATTTGTGCTTGTTCTCTCTCTCTCTCTCTCTCTCTCTCTCTCTCTCTCTCTCTCTCTCTCTCTCTCTCTCTCTCCCCCGTGGTTGGTTCCTTTGTCGGCCAGAGCAATGTTCTCGCGTTTCATTGAGGATGATCTTGTTTTGTGAAAGCGGATAAACTAGTGATGTGTTGTTCACTGCTGATGTGATGGGTGTTATTATTCGCGAATTGATCTGGGTGGGGACAGGAGATCAGCCGACAGGAAATTGTGGTGTCGCTGCATCACCATGAGGCCTGCAACAAGAGTGGAGATGAGGAGGAAAAGTGTGATTCAGTCCAAGAACACAGGGACGCTCTCCGAGCTGCTGGGGGTCTGCTGCAACCTCGCAGCACAGGCATTTTGGAGACCATCTTCTCCCCTGTCTTCAAGGTGTTTGGTGGGGGCACAACATCTAGCAGGGCCTCAACAGGTGATCACTTCTCTCCTGTTTGCTTCCTTGCCCATCAGTAGTTGTGTGCTTTGCTGCCCAAAATTTGACCTGGCCTGATCGTTCTGGTTAACCATGCTTCTTCATGCAACATGAGAGAGAGAGAGAGAGAGAGAGAGAGAGAGAGAGAGAGGACCTAGTCGCAGGCTTCTTCACCAAGTCGTAGAACTGGTTGCTGTCTAGCAGTTGATGCAGTGGATTCTATAAGCATGGCTACCAATTCCATTATATCCTTATGGGTGGGTATAGTAGGATTTGAACCTGTGACCACTAGGTTAAAAGCCCAATGCTCTACCGACTATGCTATACACCCAGAATCCAGATACGCTTGGTAGGATTTGAATCTACAATATCACCGTTATGAGTGGTAATTATATTTTGGGAATAATAATTTTGCTAATGTTCGCTTTGACACGGAGCACAAAAAGGAGTTAACAACTGCGGTGATGTTAAGGATGCGTACCTCCCTTTTTCCTCTTCGATGGAGTGCTATGTTCTCTTCTCTTGTCGGGGTGGGAGTCGGGGGGAGGGGGTACAGATTGAGGGGAGAGAATGTTTATTGTCTGGGAAAAGCAATGGATGACCTGTATGCTGGGCACAGATTGAGGGGAGGGAACGTTTATTGTCTGGGCAAAGCAATGGATGACCCGTATGCATCTTTCTCTCACTAAATCAGACGAGGATAATGCACTAGGCAAAGCAATGGATGACCTGTATGCTGGGCACAGATTGAGGGGAGGGAACGTTTATTGTCTGGGCAAAGCAATGGATGGATGACCTGTATGCATCTTTCTCTCACTAAATCAGACGAGGATAATGCACTATAGCCGAGGGCTCAGTCAACGGACTAAGGAGACGAACACTTGTGGTGGCATGAATAGAATACATGGGGGAGAGAGGGGAGCAGAGGCCAAAAGCCCTAAGACGAAAATACTGAATGATAGTGTGCATCACCTGGCCTTTAGCCAGTCAAATTTGGCGCATGGAGTATAGTAGGTCCATAAGGACTAGAGATCTAGGCAGCATGGAAGAGACTATTGCCTTGGGCCTCTGCTTAAACCGCAAGTACACGGCCCCAGCGTTGCAGAAAGTTTTGTCACCCACAAGCAAAACTCGGAGGGGCCGTGTGGCGTGGGACGTCGTTGAAAAAACAAATCGCCGGCCTCCGAAGTGGTGTGGGTTTCGTGCTGACACCCACGGGCCGATGTGTGGTGTACTGGTGCTCCAGGACCGGTCAGGGAGCTCCAGGACCGGTCAGGGAGCTCCGGGACCGGTCTGGGAGCTCCGGGACCGGTCAGGTCCAGTAGGGCCTGCCCAAGTTCTGCAAAATACCCCAAAAAATGTCCTTGTCATTTGGAAGGACACTGTTTGGCCATGTAAAATGACCAAAGCTGGCCTACCAGACCAATGTAGTGATGGCCAATGAGCCACAGAACAGGGGAAATTGAAGCTCTGGTGTTCTGCAGTTCTCTCGTAGACCCGACCCGTGAAAAGCTGCGCACAGTGCTTTGATACGAAGGAGCAGATGGGCTGTCTGTGATCGGTATTCCAGCGTCGTGACGTCTTGGGGGTGGCAACATTTTTGGCCGTGTGGCTTTTGTTTTCACCGTATGTTTTATGTTCTACGTGAGGGGAGTTATTATTCTGCTTGAAGGTTGTCTTTTGGATGTGGAGGGCCCGGGTAGGGGAGTGCTGCGTATGCAGACTTGTGGGCCTGACATTTTCTCTCTCTCCAATTTGGTTTGCTGTCCAGTCTCGGCGCAAGAGATCGAAGGCGAAGGGCGGAGTGATGTCTCTGCAACAGCAGCGTCGACCGAGGCCAAGCCAAAGGAGAACGGGAGGAGCGTGAGTGTTCGGTGCCGAGCCACAGTAGTCGCGAAGCGGCCATCGCAGGAAGCGACTGTGGCCTCACCCAAACAAAGTAAGGCGGGAACGAAAAGAGCGACCACAGCAAAGAGTAAATCCGCAACAGAGAAAACCGTGCAGGATAAGGGTGGGCGCGCACAGGGAGCAAAGGGAAATAAAACTACGACGGACGAGGCGGGGGAGAAGCAACCAGACAAGGTTGATGACTCGTCAAAAGCTCCTGCCAAGCAGAGTAAGCAGCAAGAGCGGAAGGCAGCTCGAAGGCCTGCCGAGAGCCATAGCACAAGTGAGTGCAGACAGGATGTGTCGGACAAAGCGGAGACACAGGGATCGGAACGAGGAATGCTCGACGAGTGTGCAGCTACAAATGGCGACGAGCCTCCCGCTGAGGCGATGGAGGTGGAGCAACCGATTCCCGCGGCGTCTGCGGAGGGCGGCAAGGACATGGACGAGGCCAGGAAAGACAGTGAAGAAGCTGCAGTTGCTGCCCGAGAAGATGACGAAGCTATGCTAATGGTGTCGACAAGCTGTGCCACACTTGAGTGTATAGATGAGGATGGTGGTGATCAAGGTGGAGTTGAGGAAGATGACGATTTTGACGACTTCGATCCATACTTGTTCATCAAACGGCTCCCAAAACTCTCCGACATCGTATCAGAGTGCCGTCCGCATCTGCTTCCGAAGCAGACACGGAGATCACCACCCATCTCGCTTGTGCTTGATCTGGATGAAACCCTCGTTCATTCCACACTGGAGCTTTGTCCTGATGCTGACTTCTCTTTCCCGGTTCATTTCAACAACCAGCAACACATGGTAAGTGTACATATATGAAAATAATTTATTGTGTATTGTGGCTAAGCGGGTGTATCTTGAGCTCAATAATGCGCAAAAGGTGTTTGACAAGGCACTCCACTTCTCGGTGATAGCTGTTGGACCAATTCTTGCAGGGTGCTTTTTTTCTCTTTCTCTTTTTCTTTTTCTTTTTCTTTTTCTTATTCTGATTATTATTTTTTATTTTTTTTTCGCTGCTTCCGAAGTGCTGAATCCGGGAGGCAACCCCGGGACTCCACCTCGGTGATAGCTGTTGGACCAATTCTTGCAGGGTGCTTTCTTTCTTTTTCTTTTTCTTTTTCTCTTTCTTTTTATTATTATTATTATTATTATTATTATTATTATTATTATTATTATTATTATTATTGCTGCTTCTGAAGTGCTGAATCCGGGAGGCAACCGCGGGACTCCACCTCAGTGATAGCTGTTGGACCAATTCTTGCAGGGTGCAGCTGGGTGCTGCTTCTTTTTTTTTTTCTTTTTCTGCTGCTGCCAAAGTGCTGAATCCGGGAGGCAATCCCCACACTGTCATTCTTCGTCGAAAATCAATTGTTGGTGGTAATGCTATCTCTCCTAACAGTATCTGGAGGCTGGTTTGCCACGTGTTTGGTTTCTTGACTAACATATTTCCTGCTATGAGAGCGCACCTGGTCGACTAGCTGCGCTAGGTGCACACGAGTGGTGTTTTTTGAGCTTTTGAGCTTGCATTAATCTGAAAGAAGATATGATCTTCGAAGGCGAAAATTCATTCATGGATTCCACTTCCTTTGATCGCTCTCCTCCTCCTCCCGATTAACACTCCATACACATGGATCGATCCTATAACATAACTTACTTACCGATTACCTCCTGGCTGTAGTGGTTAAGATACCTGGCTCTTGAGGCTGAGGTCTCCAGTTTGAATCCGTGCTTGCACGGTGGAGGACGTCGGGCTCATGCTGGGATGGGTAGCGCTGTCCTGTAACCTCAGCTTTGGGGAGCTAGATGTTCAGATCCATTTAGCTACTTCCCCCACCGCTCTCGTGATATGCTCTGGCGAGAGCAAATGTTTTTGAGAATCTGTCTTTCCTGCCACTGACAAGCTGTGCTATGTATTGCTTCCAGGTATACGTGCGACGTCGTCCACATTTGCAGGCCTTCATGGAACGTGTCGCGGAGTTGTTTGAGATTATTGTTTTCACTGCATCGCAGAGCGTGTACGCAGAGCAGCTTCTGAACATCCTCGATCCGCAGCGTAAACTTATCCGCCATCGCGTTTTTCGAGACTCGTGTGTATATGTTGACGGCAACTACCTGAAGGACTTGAGCATCCTCGGAAGGGATCTTTCAAAGGTTGCGATCATTGACAACTCGCCGCAGGCTTTTGGATTTCAGGTATTTTTGAAGTTCTGATTTCAAACCGTTTCTCCTTTTTTTTTTTTTTTTTTTTTTTTTTTTTTTTTTTTCATGCCTTGCCACACCTAACTTGTTGTCCTCAAAAAAAGTTGAGCTCCTGTCCAGAAGGTCTTCCTCTTGAGGATTTTGGATTTCAGGTATGCCAGCATTGCAGTACCAACTTTTTCTCTGTTCAGCTCTGTCCACACATTCTTCTTCGCAGGATTCAGCTATCGTCTTCACTTAAATAGAATATGCCTGGTAAATAATAAATATAGATGTAATTTTGGGGGCCAACAACTTTTGGTCTATGTTGAACGATAATGACGGTGTGTTCTACTTACTTTTCTCTTCCCTTTTTTTTTTTTTTTTTTTTTCCTTCGAACGGCGATGGCTTTGAGATATCATCATCGAACTGACCGGCCCTAGGGAGTTGAGAATTGGCCCCGAGTATTTTACGCACCTGCTTCCGGTGGAGTTCGAACTCAGGTCTGTATTGCAACAGTCGAGGGGTGTACTCACTAAGCTTTAAACAAAAACAAAAAAGTGGTAGGTAGGTAGTGTGAGGTGAACTTCAGAGAAGAATATAGCTTTTCAAATAATAATAATAATAATAATAAATACAAAAAATTCTAGACGTTTATCTCTTGTCAATTACTACTCGAGGCCGTCCGTGCACGGCAGGGTATGATGCCCTAAACACACGTTGTTCAGTAACTACTGTGAAGGCGCCTATAAACCAGCAGGCAGTTGGCCCGCAAGAGTGAGCAGGTTAAGTAGCGGTGGTGGGGCTACGTGTTGTCCGAGTGGAGTGAGTGGATTGCCATGTCCGTGGTGTGGTGTGTGTGAGTGTGTGGTGTGAGTTCAAGGACGCTACAGCCCTGGAGGTGGACTGGATATCACGACCGGTATGGATCCAGTTTTTATAACACCTCCAAGGGTTGTAGTGGTTACGATACTTTGTTCCTGTGGCAGAGGGTGCCGGTTTGAGGCCGTCCGTGCACGGCAGGGTATGATGCCCTAAACACACGTTGTTCAGTAACTACTAACTACTATTCTGATGTTTGATTGCGAATTAAAAAAAGTTCGTACTGTGGCGTTCAATTTGGGTGAAGATGGTAGTTGTGTGAGACTGCACCGGGCCCGGCGGGCCGTGTGGCTGAATGCCACAATCACATAACTGTTAATAGACTGATCTTGAGTTGCAAATTTTGATCGGATAAAATGAATTCAACAACATTACCGTCTCTTCGAACGGAAGTCGAGGAGGACTGCACATCACTGGAGGGTTGGAGGGACTAACTCTCTTGATCAGGTCTGAGCTCGCCTCCGAAAAAATAGAAAGCGGGAGACCAACTCCATTTAGACAGCTGCTAAAGTGCCCCTTGGTTCCTCTTACTCCTCGACAAATAATTTCTTCGTCACACGCAGACAGGCAGGCAATAGACATGGTAGGATTATAATTTATAACCTGTCCGGACTCGGGACCATCTTCGCACAAAATACCTTCCTTCCTTTCCATTTTCTCGCGCTCTAAACAGTTGTTATTTATTGCAGCTGCTTGTTTGGCTGGCAATCCAATTTTACCGGGTTGAGGCAAGATGTGCCAAGAATCCTGGTCTTCCCTTCCCTCCCCCCCCCACCCCCCATCCCCACCCACCCTCCTGCTCTAAATTGGTTTAATTACTAATTAGACCATTTCTCGGTTTGTGTGTGTCATCCTTGCACGTGGGCCATGGTAATCTTCTGTGTACTGCGCCAGTTTTAATGGATTATAAACTTATAATTTTTTCAGACTGGTAGTGCAGCCCAGACATCTCGATCTCGGCGATTTTTCACTGAAACTGCCATATAGGATATTTCCCTGATTTTTTTCTTTTTTTTTCTTGTTTTTTTTTTGGTGTGATATGTATGTGTTTTAAGATATATTATTATATGTGTATTCAGTTTCAACGTATTGGACCAGTAAGTAACGAAAAAGCTGGCAGAAACACTGAATTCGGAAAAAATAAAAAATGGCGAACTCCGAAAGCTACTCCGAATAGGGTTTTATAGTGCTTTAGAGTTTTTTGTTAATTATATTTTTTGCCTGTTTTTTTTTTTTTTTTTTTATGTTTGTATTATAAGCCTGCATTGTTTTTTTTTTTCACAAAAAAATTGACGACATTGCTTGCGGTGATGTGGAGAAAAACACCGAATTTCGGGCCTGCCATTGACCATCTCTCCTTAACTGCCTAAGCCTATACAAGGGACCCCTGCAAGCACAGCTATCTCATACAATCAAAGGAATAAATATTAGCCTCCAATGTAATTGGCAGTGTGGGAGCAGGTTGGGCCCCCTGGTGGTGGTGGGGGCTAATGCAAAGACTGAGCATTTTGCTGGTAGCTACACCTCCCATCTACTTCCCC